ACGTGTATGTATGCAGAAAGGTGGTAATGATTTACGTGTATGTATGCAGCAAGGTGTTAGTGATTTACATGTATGTATGCAGCAAGGTGGTAATGATTGACGTGTATTTATGCAGCAAGGTGTAAGTGATTTACGTGTATGTATGCAGCATGGTGGTAATGATTTACATGTATGCATGCAGCAAGGTGTTAGTGATTTACGTGTATACGTGTATTATGCAGAAAGGTGGTAATGATTTACGCGTATGTATGCAGCAAGGTGTTAGTGATTTACATGTATGTATGCAGCAAGGTGGTAATGATTGACGTGTATTTATGCAGCAAGGTGTAAGTGATTTACGTGTATGTATGCAGCAAGGTGTTAATGATTTACGTGTATGTATGCAGCAAGGTGGTAGTGATTTACGTGTATGTATGCAGCAAGGTGGTAGTGATTTACGTGTATGTATGCAGCAAGGTGTAAGTGATTTACGTGTATGTATGCAGCAAGGTGTTAGTGATTTACATGTATGTATGCAGCAAGGTGGTAATGATTGACGTGTATTTATGCAGCAAGGTGTAAGTGATTTACGTGTATGTATGCAGCAAGGTGTTGCAGCAAGGTGGTAATGATTTACGTGTATTATGCAGAAAGGTGGTAATGATTTACGTGTATGTATGCAGCAATGTGTTAGTGATCTACGTGTATGTATGCAGCAAGTTGTAAGTGATTTACGTGTATGTATGCAGCAAGGTGTAAGTGATTTACGTGTATGTATGCAGCAAGGTGTTGCAGCAAGGTGGTAATGATTTACGTGTATTATGCAGAAAGGTGGTAATGATTTACGTGTATGTATGCAGCAAGGTGTAAGTGATTTACGTGTATGTATGCAGCATGGTGGTAATGCTTTACGTATATGTATGCAGCAAGGTGTTAGTTATTTACGTGTATGTATGCAGCAAGGTGGTAATGCTTTACGTATATGTATGCAGCAAGGTGTTAGTTATTTACGTGTATGTATGCAGCAAGGTGGTAATGCTTTACGTGTATGTATGCAGCAAGGTGTTAGTTATTTACGTGTATGTATGCGGCAAGGTGTAAGTGATTTACGTGTATGTATGCAGCAAGGTGTAAGTGATTTACGTGTATGTATGCAGCATGGTGGTAATGCTTTACGTATATGTATGCAGCAAGGTGTTAGTGATTTACGTGTATTTATGCAGCAAGGTGTTAGTGATTTACGTGTATTTATGCAGCAAGGTGTTAGTGATTTACGTGTATACGTGTATTATGCAGAAAGGTGGTAATGATTTACGTGTATGTATGCAGCAATGTGTTAGGGATTTACGTTTATGTATGCAGCAAGTTGTAAGTGATTTACGTGTATGTATGCAGCAAGGTGTAAGTGATTTACGTGTATGTATGCAGCAAGGTGGTAATGATTTACGTGTATCTATGCAGCAAGGTGGTAATGCCAAACATGTATGTATGCAGCAAGATGGTAATGATTTACGTATATGTGTGCAGCAAGGTGTTAGTGATTTACATGTATGTATGCAGCAAGGTGTTTGTGATTTACGTGTATGTATGCAGGAAGGTGGAAATGATTTACGTGTATGCATGCAGCAAGGCGTTAGTGATTTACGTGTATGTATGCAGGAAGGTGGAAATGATTTACGTGTATGCATGCAGCAAGGTGTAAGTGATTTACGTGTATGAATGCAGCAAGGTGGTAATGATTTACGTTTATGTATTCAGCAAGGGGTTAGTGATTTACGTGTATGTATTTGCAGCAAGGTGGTAATGATTTACGTTTATGTATTCAGCAAGGGGTTAGTGATTTACGTGTATGTATGCAGGAAGGTGGAAATGATTTACGTGTAACATGTATTGTATGTATGCAGCAAGGTGGTAATGCTTTACGTGTATGTATGCAGCAAGATGTAAGTGATTTACGTGTATGTATGCAGAAATGTGGTAATGATTTACGTGAATGCATGCAGCAAGGTGTTAGTGATTTACATGTATGTGTGCAGCAAGGTGTTAGTGATTTACATGTATGTATGCAGCAAGGTGGTAGTGATTTACGTGTATGTAAGCAGCAAGGTGTTAGTGATTTACATGTATGTGTGCAGCAAGGTGTTAGTGATTTAAGTGTATGTATGCAGCAAGGTGGTAATGATTTACGCGTATCTATGCAGCAAGGTGGTAATGTGTATGTATGCAGCAAGGTGTTTGTGATTTACGTTTATGTATGCAGCTGACGGGTATGTATGCAGCAAGGTGGTAATGAATTACGTGTATGCATGCAGCAAGGCGTTAGTGATTTACGTGTATGTATGCAGAAATGTGGTAATGATTTACGTGAATGCATGCAGCAAGGTGTTAGTGATTTAAGTGTATGTATGCAGCAAGGTGGTAATGCTTAACATGTATGTATGCAGCAAGATGGCAATGATTTACGTATATGTATGCAACAAGGTGTTAGTGATTTACGTGTATGTAAGCAGCAAGATATTTGTGATTTGCGTGTATGTATGCAGCAAGATGTAAGTGATTTACGGGTATGTATGCAGCAGGGTGGTAATGATTTACGTGTAACATGTATTGTATGTATGCAGCAAGGTGGTAATGCTTAACATGTATGTATGCAGCAAGATGGCAATGATTTACGTATATGTATGCAACAAGGTGTTAGTGATTTACGTGTATTTATGCAGCAAGGTGGTAATGATTTATGCAGCAAGGTGTTGGGGGTTTACGTGTATGTATGCAGCAAGTTGTAAGTGATTTTCGTGTATGTATTCAGCAAGGTGGGAATGATTTACGTTTATGTATTCAGCAAGGTGGTAATGATTTACGTGCATGTATGCAGCAAGGTGTTAGTGGTTTACGTGTATGTATGCAGCAAGGAGGTAGTGATTTACGTGTATGTATGCAGGAAGGTGGAAATGATTTACGTGTATGCATGCAGCAAGGTGTAAGTGATTTACGTGTATGAATGCAGCAAGGTGGTAATGATTTATGTATATGTATGCAGCAAGGTGTTAGGGATTTACGTGTATGTATGCAGCAAATATGTATGCAGCAAGGTGTTAGTGATTGACGTGAATGTATGCAGCAATGTGGTAATGCTTTACGTGTATGTATGCAGCAAGGAGTTAGTGATTTACGTGTATGTATTTGCAGCAAGGTGGTAATGATTTACGCGTATCTATGCAGCAAGGTGGTAATGGCAAACATGTATGTATGCAGCAAGATGGTAATGATTTACGTAT